CATAATAATAATACCATAATAATAATAAGCCATAAAATCAATGTTAATGCATATATATAAATCTATTATACTCATTAACATAAAAACGACAAGGCAAATTTCCCCATTATATCAAGAACAATCTTCATAAAGATCAAAAGCTACAAACAAAAGGACTCTAAAGAAAGAGACAGGACTCCACCCCCCTATTCCTTCTCTTGTAATCACTGGCATCGAGTCCTAATATTAAGGGAGAGAGAGAGAGAGAGAAAAAAAATCACATTCATCGCATAAGATTAGCAAATCAATGTGATGTAAATTGTTCCTTGTTATTGCTAAAATGCTCTCTTACCCATCATATTTTACCAAAGTTCTTGATTTACTATTTTCATTCATTCAAAATTGCTTGAAACCACATCTACCCCTTTCCTTGCCTAAGTTTTGTTTTTATAAGCTATGCCGGCCTTGACTTTTGGCTATTGAAGTTGTTGATGAATTCTGATATATTCGCATGATTTACTTGGCAAACAGTGCTCTGTGACCTTCTTGACTTATATAACATTTGATTCAACTGGAAGAAAAGATTTGGCTAAAATAACCTTGAATACTGTTCACCAATAATCTAAGAAATCAAAACAAGATCATGAAAAAACAAATGAAATAAAAAACAGTACAAAAACAAACAAATACATACATCCATGCTCATTTATCACATACATTCATACATTACATAATATATATATAAAATTATGTATATACATACATACATACATATATACATACATATATACATAAATATATACATATATACATACATATATACATATATACATACATATATACATATATACATACATATATACATATATACATACATATATACATATATACATACATATATACATATATACATACATATATACATATATACATACATATATACATATATACATACATATATACATATATACATACATATATACATATATACATACATATATACATATATACATACATATATACATACATATATACATACATACATACATAATATATATATATATATATATATATATATATATATATATATATATATATATATATATATATATATATATATATATATATATATATATATATCAACCAATCAAATATAGGTATCTGAAATGGCTGTTGATTTGTCTGGCAGGATATAAGAAACACACACCTTCAAATCAAAGAACATGCCATCTGTGGATAAGACAAAATATGCCATGGCAAATTACAAAGGAATTCTGTAAATCTAATAACATCTAGAATGATGTATATCAATGCTATGAAAAAGAAAAGAGCCAATCATTCTCTTTATGGTCCCAATCAATGATTAATAATGGAAAAGAAAAAAATATATATTCCTCAGGTAATTCAGTAAAATACAAAATGTCAAAGAAAAACACAATTCCCTATATGACTACAAAACCCCACATGTAAAAAAGAAAAAAACTAAAAAGAAAAAAAAATCAACAATACCAACACCAATTATGATGATGATGATGATGATGATACTAATGACAATAAAAATATAAATACCCGCTTCCACAAAAACAACAAAAACAATAACAAAACAATAATTCACTTATACTGCATAGCACATTATATGACTCCTGTAGGTGTAGTCAAACAAAATAATAAAATATAAACTTGTTCACATTCTCCACCAGATAACCAATGCCATATTTGATGATATAATCTACACTTGACATATAATTCCAATCTAATCAAAATTGTGCTATATACATAATTATCAATGAAATCATTCATTACCAGATAATCATAGCAACTTATCAAATGAAAAAAAAAAACAATGCCTCTTTTATACAATTCACCTATTGAGTGAATGACTGAAACCTGTAACTTGAAGGTTGCCATTAAACAAATACTAGAATAATAGCTGACCCTCAGGAGAAAGAAAAAAAAAAAAAACAACGGTTAAGCCACCTGCTTCTAAATGCTAACCAAATCAGCACATCAAGAAAAATGCAAACTAGAACAAGAAGTTTATCTGGGTGTGTGAAAGTCACCACGGCCTTGTCCTATTTCAGCAACCAACCAGAAGCATATAACTATCCCAAGGGCAAAGAGGATATTGATACGACCTTGATGTATGCCAGAAGTACTGATCCTTCCTCCTATGGTTCCTGTACAGCTGACCAATTAAATTCACAGGAGGAGGAGGAGGAGGAGGAGGAGGAGGTGGAATAAAAGGAGGGGGAGGAATAAAAGGAAGAGGAGGAATATGAAGAGGAGCAGGAATAAAAGGAGGAGGAGGAATAAGGGGAGGTGAAAGAGTAATACAAAAAGAAGGAGGAGGAAGAGGAGGAGGAAGAGGAAGAGGAGGAGGAGGAGGAGGAGGAGGAGGAGGAGGAGGAGGAGGAGGAGGAGGAAGAAGAGGAAGAAGAGGAAGAAGAGGAGGAAGAGGAAGAAGAGGAGGAAGAGGAGGAGGAAGAGGAAGAGGAGGAGGAGGAGGAGGAGGAGGAGGAGGAGGAGGAGGAAGAAGAAGAAGAAGAAGAAGAAGAAGAAGAAGAAGAAGAAGAAGAAGAAGAAGAAGAAGAAGAAGAAGAAGAAGAAGAAGAAGAAGAAGAAGAAGAAGAAGAAGAAGAAGAAGAAGAAGAAGAAGAAGAAGAAGGAGGAGGAGGACAGAAGAAAAGTATACGGATTAAAAAAAAAAAAGAGGTGAAAACACTGAAGGAAAAGGTGGTGTGGAAAAGAAGCAAGGAAGACAAAAATGTGGAGAAAGGATTGGAGGGAAAACAATAATAAAATAAAAAACTCAAAAATTACACAAACAATCCAGCAATACATTATCCTCCATAATTTGTTTTCATCAATTACATAGCCAGTTATAAGACGTCCTTTGACTAGACATGAGATGACAATACAATTGAAACAAACTGCAGAAAGACTATAAACACACTCAATACTATTAGTCATAGCATTGGCTGATTCAAGCATGATAATAGGTTTATCATATGGTTCAATCACATCAATGCATGGGGAGTTGGAACTCAGTTATAGCTAAAATAATCTGGATTATTGTTCAAAGCTATGAATTTCAAATTACAATTGACAAATATATTACATTCTTTATCATTACTAACAATACCAGGTAGATAAATAAAAAAATTCTCACTAAACAGAACAGAAAGCTACAGTACCTATGCAAAAGACCCAAATATAATCCAAAAAGTAAAAGAAAAAAAAAAGTAATTCAAGTAATATACATTCTACTATCTGAAGAAGAAGAAGGATATTACTAATGGGAATATCCCACAGCTTTTATGCTAAAAAAATTCATTCAAATCAATAAAAAAATAATTGGACTTTTTCAGTATCTTCTAGAATAGACTAAAATGGAACATATGGTCCATGTGGGTTCACTGCAGAAACAACTATAAAACAAATAAAATGTGAAGATGAAATTCTTTAGCCATTCTCAAAATAGTTATTCTTATGCAATCCTTATTAAGGAGATCTTATAAGGATAATGACTGCATGCAACATTCATACAGCTAATTTCTGATTAGTATATGTTACCCTCTTCACAAATGTCAAAACATCTATTGTGTTGACAAAATGGCTAAATATTCCACTAAGAACAATAAACTCTATGATTATAGTGAGCTTTTCCTGCTTCATTCAAGATCACACCATTTTGCCTTTTTCACTGTAAAGACTATCAATCTAACAAAGTCTATGTTATATCATGGAGAAAAAAAAAATGCATCATAGCCCATCCCTTCTCCTTTATGACACATCATTTCTAACATTATGAACACTCATCTCACAAGTTTTCCTTCTTACCAGACATCTACAGACAGAGAGCTGTTGTTCTTTGTCTGCACAAGGACAATGAAGCTTTGTGATGCTTGATTTAGACACTCACTCTGAAGCTTGATTTAGACTCGCTCTCTCTCTCTCTCTCTCTCCCTATATCTTGTTCTACTTCATTGATCTATTTCCATATCAGAAACGGGGTTACAACTCCAATTATGCTAAATCTTGTTTTGATTCTTAGTGCAGTACATTTACACTCATATCTTTTGTTTTAGATCTGACATTTTTAATCAGTGTCATTTGTAAAACAAAAATAAAGCAAACAAAATACCAAAATAATAGTAATTGGATACAAAATAATACGCTTATCATGTAAGATGATCTACCATTCTAATGTACAAACAATAATTAACAATAAATAAAAGAACTGGATCAAACAAAGAAAGCAAGATTAACACCAGATGTTGCAAGCACAGTCTTGAACTTTCTGAATGACATTACACAAAATATGTCAAATGATATGAAATGTATGAATCAGACTCAAATCAAAATGACAAAAAGAAGAAGATATCACAAATCTAACAGCCTGACAAAGCAAACAGAAATGATGGAGATGTGACTATATTTTTTTCAAGAATCTTCAAAATACCAAAAACTAACTAGACATTACAGGAGTCAACAAGTGTGACAAAAAAAAATTAAATTATGCACTTTACATCATAATTCAATTAATTTTCCTGTTTTATAAGCAAAGAGTATTTCATAACATCTGTTGCAATAAAAGCTTAATGAAAATAAACAATAACAAAGCTCTAAATACCCAAATATTAGAAGAAAAACAACTAATGATCACCTTATTCATGTTTTATTCTTTGTGACTGAAACCAAAGCATAATGTAGATGCGAGAGAAGACTGAGAAAAATACAGCAACTTTAAATGTCCATGTTTAAACAAAGAAAAATCAAGCCTACTTCATTGCTTGTAAGGAACAGCTTCTCCAAAACAAAGACAAATATCTCATCACCGTAAACAAAGACATTCCCTTTGTATCCGATCATACAAAATTAAGAGAAAGTGCAGATGTCCTTCTTAAGCTGTAAATAATGGTAATAAAAGAATGCAGGCTGATATGAAAAAAAAAACTATAGATCTACAGTTAATACATCATGTCCTGCCCCCCCTTTAAAAAAAAAAAAAAATTCCTCCA